ACACACCTACCCCCACCCTGCTCCTGCACTCTCCCTGCATCTCCCTCCCCCCTTAGCCATATACCTAGTTCATTCCTGCACCCTCCTCCTGGGCCCCACACCCTACTCCCAGCTTGTTCCTGCACTCTTCCTTGCTCCTGCACCTCCCCCCAGCCAGACACCCTATCCACCCCCAGCCTTCTGTTGGCCAGAATCTGTACCCTCTCTTGCTCCTGTCCCCTCCTCCTGGCCAGACACCTTATTCCCAGCCTGCTCCTGCACCCTACCTTCCACCCAGACCCCACATCCTTATACCCTCCTGTACCCTACTGCCTGGCCAGATCCTGCACCCCCATCCTTATCCCACTCACTGGCAGCCCTGTCCCACTCACTGAAGCCCGCATTTTGGCCGCACCCCAGAGCCTGAGGGGGCTACAAAATCTGCTAACTCTGGAACACCAGAAGAGTTAATTTAGCCTGAGGCCTTGAACTCCAGTCTTCCCTCCTCTCTCCTCCCCCACCCCTCCCCTGCCCAATGGGGCTGGAGCACCAAGGGAGTGAGGTGTTTCAGTTGGGGACTACATTAGTGAGGGTTGGGAAGTTTTGGAGGGATATTTTTTTACTTCTCACTTGTGTAGTCCCCAACTGATCTTCCTGTGGGCCAGTGGCCCCCGACCCAAAAAAGGTTCCCCACCCCTGCCATAAATACAGTGTTGAAACTTATGTGTTGGGCATAATATTTTAAAATGAAGCCTGGCCAATAAGGCCCCAGTCGGGACCCAGCCCCAATCTGGCTGCAGCATCCTGCCCCTGATCTTGGGGCAGGCCTCATGGTCCAGCCTTCATCTGGTCTCAGGAAGGGCTGGGGCCGGGCCCCCTTCTGCTGCAGCACAGGTAGGAGAGGAGGCCATGATACAGCAGCAGCAATCCCAGCCCCAGCCCTCATCCAGCCACTGCTACTGGGGTGCAGCAGCCCCGATCAGGTAAGGTAATCGGGCCCCAAGGCCTCCACCCTCACATACTCTTTTTCCCCACCGCCCTGAACTTTGGAAATGTCTTAGTCTTGGCGTTCAGTAAATATCGTCCTAACACTGAATGAATCTAGAATAATTGTCGAAGTCTTTCAGTCAGCATATGCATTTATTTGAAACTAAGCCCTTCTTTGCTGAGTACCTAAAAACTGAGGTCACTAGTCACTTTTGGAAGTCATGGTTCAGATCCAGGGCAGGAGCCTGATAGCACACAGCACAATGGGGCTCCATTCCTCAATGGAGCCTTTAAAGATTACCATCATATAAATATTTATGACTCTTACTGCATGTATAATCTAGTTTCTAATCAGAACTGAAATCAATGATGTCTGCAGATGACTAAGAATTTTTGGACCACATTCTGGCCTCATTTAGCACAACTAAAATCTGGAGTAACTCCACTGAAGTCATTACTGTTCCTTGGGTTCATGTGAAAGCCAAAGACCCTGAAGCTATATCTACGCTGCAGGCTTCTTACGTAAGAACAGCCATTCTTGCACAAAAACTTGCGGAGCGTCCACACTACAAGCCCATTCTTGCGCATGAAAATTTACAGTAGATCGTCAGAAGAGAGGGCTTTTTGCACAAGAGTTATTCCTCTTCCCACGAGGCTAGCATGGACGGGAACGGGTTTCTTGTGCAAGTTGAGCAAGAAAGGCTAGCATGGATGGGAACGGGTTTCTTGCGCAAGAAACCCCTATGGCTAAAATGTCCATCAGCTTTCTTGCACAAGAGAGTGTCCACACTGCCATGGACACTCTTGCGCAAAAGCACATGGCAGTGTGGATGATCTCTTGTGCAAGAACTCTTGCGCAAAAAGGTCTTGCACAAGAAGCCTGCCGTGTAGACATAGCCTGAGTGTTTTTCACAAGAATTTCAAATTTAGATTTTTGCACCAAATTAAAAATAGCATTTAAAGACATTGCTTTTTTGCTGGAAGTGCACTAACATTATGTGCTGAAAAAAAATCCTCTATTTCTGTATTTTCCTTGTATTTAGTTAAACAAAGAGAGACTTGTGAGTATAGTTCAAGAAAATGTTTCTTCTATTTTTCAGTCACATTTCCAGACAACAAACCATCTTTTCAAATAGACTGACAACAAAAGCATGCTGATTAACGTAACAACCCTGAATCAAATCAAAACCAACAGGAAACTACCGCTGTTTTTTGTCCTTTACTTTAAAAGGTACTAGCTATTATTCTGGCAATTGCTATTTACTGTAGAGGAGTTACAGCTTCATTATTAAACAACTATGAAAACAAAGATCTGGGATTTCATGCAGTCATGTCCCAGATAGACTAGGTGCAAACTGCCAACATACTCATTTAGTGTTTTCCAACTGATATTTTTAAAGGGTGTTTAATTATTTCCGGACTACTTACTGATTGTGCACTCTGACTGATAAGGGGGTGGAATTTTCAAATGCCTACTTTTTCCTGGCCTTCATTTCTGTGTTGACTTTTTCACACTGAAACCAAATTTCCAAATGGCTTTTGATATGGATTGCTCTCAAATTTAGTGACAAATTCGAAACTTTTCCTGTAAAGTTATTGCCTAGATATGATTTCTCATGATTGAGGAAATATATGCATGCATTCCACTTCTACACTGCATGGTGCAGAGGAGTACATTGGTCAGCGTGTACTGCTTCTGTTTTGCAAGGTTTATAAATATAATTTGGGGAGTAGTTTTTAGCTATTTGAGTTTTAATTAAAAGTCCAAAAATCAGGCAGGTGCCAGGGAACTTTCTTTGTATACACCATGGTGACCAATGTGATTTTAATGGATACATTATTAATTACAGTAGTATAACAGTAATCTTTCTGTAATGGTCCCTAGTGTGCTGTAGTACAGTCAGTTTCAAACATAGTACAGGTGGAACCTCTCTCATCTGGGGATCTCTGGTCCAGCAACATCTCTGGTCCTGCAGCACCACATATGTTGCTAGACCAGAGAGCCCTGGCCCCAGAGGTTGAGTGTGGCTGGGAGCAGAGTCGGTCTGGTTGGCAGCAGCCTGCAGGGCTAGTGACCTGGAAGTAGATATCCCTGGAAGCAGCTGATGCTGCATGGGGGCAGGAAACCCTGGGAGCAGCTGCCACTTCATGGGGTTGGGGGCTGAGTGCAGGGAGCAGAGACCCGGGGACAGCAGAGCCAGGCGGGTAGGCCGGAGGAAGTGAGGCCTCCAGGTTCTCCAGGTGCAGCAGCCAGGAGGGGAGCCCAAGAGATCCTGGACACCTGACCTTCCCTGGTGCAGCAAATTCTCTTGTTCAGGACCACTCCAATTCCAAGGGTGCCGGACCAAGGAGGTTCAATCTGTACTGTTTCCGCATTAAAGGGCACTAGTGTTAACATTCAGTGTGTCTGGACAACAACCAATTGATGCACATTCATGCACTTTAGAAATCACACCCATATAATCCACATTACTGCTGTACACAAGCCCTTACATCAGGGGTGGGCAAAAGGGCCTCCGCTGGCCGGACCCAGCCTGCCAAGTGGGTTGATCCAGCCCGGGAAAGCCCTGCCGCTCCCCCTGCCCCCGGCCAATTCGGGCCTGGGGGCAGGGAGAAGCGTGTGAAATTTCCTCCGCCCTGCTCCCACCCTGCCAGGAGCATGTGGCACTTAGAAGCGCCATGCACTCCTGGCAGGGTGGGAGGAGACTTTGCACGCTCCCCCACCCCCAAGCCCTGATTGGCCTGGGGGCAGAAGAGGGAGCACGCAAAGTCTTCTCCCACCCCAGGGGCATGGGCATCTAGGGGGAACCTCTGGGAAGGGGGCAAAGATTTCACCCATGATCTGTGGGTGTGGAAGCAGGGAAGTATCCTAGCCCTGTCCCTTCCACTTGAGGCCTTTCCCTTCTGGTGCAGCCCGGGACCACTTCAAACATTTCTGAAGTGGCCCCTAGTAAAAAAATTATTGCCCATCCCTGCCTTACATACAAATAATCACTCTGGTGCTTTTTTTGTTTTTTAATAGGGGTGGGTCCTGGTTAAAATCAGAAGCCCAAGTGTCTCCCTATCTGTCTCAGTTCTGTCGAGGATGTGAGTTTGTTACTGATCTCAGCTCGAGTGCCAACTGTATTTTAGCTCTAGCTGTGCAGATTAGGGATGTTACATTTTGATTAATCAGCTAATCAAATAGTCACTGGAATTTCCATTGACTACTCGATTAGTCAATAAGGAGTGGAGTGGGACACTTGCTATCCCCGCTACACCTCTGCCTTTTAAATGTAGTAAGAGCCGTGGGCGCTCATGGCTCTTATTACATTTAATAGGAGGAAGAGTAGTGGGGACTCAAGCAATCCCCACTCTCCTCAGGTTCCACCTCTCCCTTTGAATTATAGCAACTCTTGCTACATTTCAAAGGGACAGGCATAGCAGTGGGACTGGCAGGGCTCTTGCTACATTTCAAAGGGATAGGCACAGCAGTCAGACTGACATGCGCAGGGACTGCTTCAGTTCCCATTTGTACTGTTTCCCCACTGTGCCTCTACTTCCCCTGCCTCCTCCCCCGGTGGAGTTGGTGCTGGTGAGAACCGGCTTATAAGCCGGCTCCCCCCAGCACTGGCTCCTGTTCCCCCCTCCCCATCCTTGCCGCCGGTAGCAACAAGTCAAGTCACTACTTGACTACCCAATAAGCATATGCTTATCGGGTAGATGACTAGTCACTTACATCCCTAGTGCAGATGCATATATTTAGTTCTGGCGATCGCTGATTCAAGCCCTGGTGTCAGTAGCCAAAGATGTTGGCTATGACACATTGGCTAGAGTGGCAGGAGGTAGCTGTGTTGCCACCTCAAGCTAATCTACACTACAACCTATATCCACATGTGTCATTCAAGGTTGTAAATCACTCTGCCACGCTCTAATGTGGAACAGAAGTGCCACTGACATGAGCACTCGTGTACACAGCTCAGTGTTGGCAAGAGAGCTTCAGAACTCAGATCAATTTTGTAGCTGAATATATTGTTAAAGTAAGCGTAGCACATGTGGAAGCCAATAACAAGCTTATTTAAATAATGCTAACATTGTTTTAGCGTTGCTCATTGAAGACACAAGAAAATGTCACCAGCTCTAATAAAGTGCGGGCAGAAAAAGCACCCCCAAAAAAACCTAAAGAAAAATAGCAGTTCAGCAATTCAGATGTAGCAGCATGTAGGGCTGGTTAGCATGAGGGCAAAATAGAATCTCAGCTTTCGGCCACAAAGCTGTATGGCTAGACTATGAGCCACATGCATTTGTCTAAGAATATCGTAGGAGGTTTTAGGTTCACAAAAAGTTTTAGGCTCACAAAAGCATTTCTGATTGAAAACAAGTTTCATGCTCAGCAGTGGTCAGACCATAAAGCTAGTGTGTAGCACATGTGGAGAGCTTGGCCTGGCACAATGAGAAACTGCCACATTAACCAGCCTCTCTGATTACACAGGAGCGAAGTGACCAATGCAAACAGAGGAAGAGTGACTTTGGAATCCCTTATAAAATGCTGGGTGGGAGATGGGGCAAGAATTTTTTTCAACACAGTGAAAAGCCCAATTTCTCTCCTTTATTTTTGTTATTTTTTTGAAAAAAAAATGCTGGAGGGATGGAAACACACTCATCTGAGGCATGGGGTTTTCCATAGCTAGTGCTGGAGCAGTGCCAGGAAAAGCACAGCTTAAGTAAAGGATAGTGACAGTTTTATGGTCAGACATCTCAGGAACCCCTAGTTAGTCTTTCACACCCAAAAGCAGGTATTCAGTCAAAGGATTTCCATATCCCAGGTGCCCAGCTTTTTCCCTCATCATCTGACATGATAGCTGTTTCTTTCTTGAGAAAAAAATGAAAAAGCTGGAAATCACATTTGACATCCTGCTCCCCCAGGCATTTTACCAGGGTCTCTTGTGCCAGAACTCAGGCATCTTAGACTGTCTCTAAAGGCGAAGCTCCATGAACTATTAGCAGTATAAGGCATATGGCACACAAGCTAGGTATGCTTAGTCGGGGAGCAGAGGCCACTGGCTGCATAAGAGATTGCCCTACACCCCCTTCCTCCCCACCCTCACACACACACTCCTCCCAGACACAGACTTGGCTGTCAGGCTGCATCTGACCCTGACATAGTGCACGGGTTGGGTCTGCCCCCAAAACACCCTAGAGCCCTGTCCTGTGCCAGGCATACCGAAATAGTGAGCAAAAGGGACAGAGACTCCAATGCATGCCCAGCCTTGGTCCTGAGCCAGGTATGGGGCAGGCAGGCATAACCTGGCAGGATCCAAGTGAGGCAGAGGTTAATGTGGGCTGAGAGGATACTGCATGGAGCAATTGGGTGGGGAAGTTCAAAGGGTGGGGGGTGTCAGGGTATATAAGGGCTCATTGGGGAGAGGTTCCACATGCAGGGGGAAGGGACTCGGCAGGAGGTTCCAGGTGAAGGTGTTTGGGGCTTGGCAGGGATGTCTGAGAGTGAGAAACTCAGTGGAAGGGGGGAATCCAGAACTTGTGGTGGGGTCTGGGTACAGTTGGTTGAGCTCAGTGGGGTGGGAGTCAGGTTGTAGGGGGCTCATTGAGGTGGTCGGATGTGGGAAAGTTGGGGGCAGGGCCAGATTAAGGCATCGGCTAGCCGGGCAGCTGCCTGGGGCGCCAACCTATGGGGGGTGCCTGATGGCAGCTGTAAGGGGCACGCAGTGCCCCTTATAGCTGCCATCAGGTGTCATGTGCCCGGCTCCCAGATCCTGGGCTGCAGCAGCGCCCAGCGGCCACCCTGCAGCGGCTGCCTGGGGCGGGGGCCGCGTTAACCCCTGCAGCGCTGGCCAGAAGCACCCTTCCACCCGCGGCTGCGGGACCCTGCTCGGCCTGCTCCCGGCGGGCCCAGGCTGAGCACCAGTGGCAGGGGGCCACACGCGGGGGGGA